CTCAAACTCAGACTGTAGCTTGCCATGAAAATATCAGATTCGACAGTAATGACCATGATTGAGCAGGCATTGTGAGAAGACAGAGATGAATAAGAACCAGTGAACAAAGAGTATCTCAAGTGTATGAGCCTATCCGAGCAATCAAGTAGCCAGAAAATGAAATCGTTCAGTTCTCCCCCACTTCCTCTTCCTCTGCTATTATTAATCTTGTTTTTGGGTTCCAAGTTGCTGTAACTAATTTTTTTCTGTTGGCTCCTTGATGGCTTGGAATGAATTTTTAACTATTTTCAGTTTTCCCACTTCTCAATTGAAATTTCTGAAACTGAGTGTAGGTATTTTCGGTGGGAACTCTTTTCCATTGGTGATAGAAATCAGTTTCTATCAGTGATGGAATTGCTTTTCCTCTGGACTCCCCTTTCATTCCTCACTGGAAATGTGTTTCTGCTACTTTATTTTTACCATTTTGCCCCTGAATTCAGAACAATAAGCCAGAAGTAATATCCAATTGTGGAATTTCATAAAAACTATTAAACTATCACAATTGCTTAATTCTTTTACTCAAGTGTATCAACATTTTATTTATTTATGCAATTAATGGTCAATCTATTCCTTAAAATAGCCTACAATATACATTCTAAGCATATGAAAAACATGATTTATCAAATTCCCCCACACTTAAGTTTTGGCATTCCTAGGACAGAATGATGGAATAAAGCAAAGTCTCAAGCACATTATCAATGAAGAGTGCTAAATCATGCTCAAGAGTGAGATACTTGTATTCATCAACCATTCCCTTTAAATGCCATCAATAAAGAACAAGCGCATGTCAAAAGATCAAATCACAATCAAGCAGTTTAGTCACGGCAAGCAAATAGAAAGATAAGGTTTCTCTTAAGGTAAAGTGTTTTTTCTCACTCTCAGAGATCAAGGTAATTTCTCTTAGACCATCTAGTTTAGGCTTCACCATAGGCTTATAACCATCCTACATCTCCATCATTCACTTGCTACAAGCTTTTGTGAATCAAAGGGCTTGCTAAAGTTGTAATGTTCGAAAGGCCAAATGCTGGAATGGAAAATGAATGTCAATGATCAATGAACATATGCATTTTACTAAATTGCTTAGCACACGAGAAAATTTTCTGTTCAAAATTCAAGATATGTTCACACATGAATCCAAATATGAATTATATCAGCAAGCTGACATAATCATGAACGAATATATTTCCTCAACCTTGCCAATTCAGCTGCTTATTTATTTCTCTTTCCTTTTTTCATAATATTTTTTCTTTTCTTCTGTCTTCATTGGTACCTCTTCGTTTATTATTTCTGTTTCTTTTCTTCAAAAAAAAAAATTCATCACTGCAGCAGTGATTGTACGGTCAGACAAGTAGGATTATATCAAGCTTTCTATAATAGATTTTTAACTTCTATCAACACATATACCATCACAGAACTGAACCATCATGTCAGCAACTCATATTCTCACAGTATCCAAAATATGCAATGTTCATCAATCATGCTGAAATTTTTAACGAACAGTGAAAGCTCAAGGGGTTAAGCAACGGATTAGTGTAAATGGCTGTTGTTTGGTCAAAAGGGTTTTGAATGAAATGCCCTTATCATATTCACAATTCCAAGTGCTAATGTAGTCTTGAATTAAAGATAGAAACAAGTTCTAGGAAGTTACTACACTGGATGGCTTCACACATGATTTAAGACATGAATTAAGGCCCAAAATTCTTCCAACTGGTTTGCTCATCCCGATTCACTTACCATGAACAAATTGTATGAGGATTTGAACTTGAATGCATGAGAAGAGTTATTTATAAAATCGCGTCACCTTACACTTAAATTCGTGTAAATTTTTAAATATGGCTATGTTTAATGATTTATATATATGAATTTGTAAAAAATTTTTTTGTTAAATATGCCATATTATGAACGATAATAAATTTAATTTCAATTATTTGGATTTAAAATATATTTAAATAATATTGTTGTTATTTTTATATTTTAATTATTTAACTATATATTTTAATACTAATTTATCAATAAAAGTAAATTTTTACAAGTTTACGATTCAAGTTTATAATTTGAGTTCACATATTTATCATAAGTATATTTAAACTCATGAATTTGATAACTTTGGAGGGAATTACAAATTTATTTTTTTAAAAATTAAATAAAGATCTTTATCTCAACACTATTAGAGGGCATCTATAGTTAATATCCGTTAATTGAGACTTAAATGAGAAAGCTCAACTAAAGGGTTCCATTCCTTATTTCACATGGTACTTTTGGCTGAAATTAGCTCGCATAATCAATACCTCTTATGGCTGGCAATTGATATTTAAGAAGAAATTGATAGGAGTTTTATTGTTGGCCAAAGATAAGAGTACTGTTATAATATTTAAACGAACATTTACCATATCTATTAAAGTTATAATTTTACTTCAAATGGGATAAGTGTGTTCTGATTTAATTATTACCTTAATAAAACAGTACTCTTATCTTATTAGAAAAATAGGCACTGATAATAAGAAAAAGGATAGCAGCATTAGCATTAGTATTAATAAATTTTATAATATTTGACCAAATTATTCTTAACATTTTAGGTATTAACATTATGAATTATATATCTCTGGTCCTAATTATAAAATCTCATTTATAGTTTATAAATGATATCTTATAATTAAGACAGAAGGTAATATATAAATCTTAAGTATGTTTTATTCTTGTCTTCAAGATTTGGTTTTTATTTTAATACCAGTATTAATTATCCGTCATGTGAGCTCATTAATTATGCACACTAGCTGTTTCCGTGGCTTTGCTCTCCTTTTCACTATAAACAATACATTTTTTCTGTTATATAAATGGAAACAGCTTGAAATGGTGATGAAGCCCTGATACTCCTCCGGTCCTTAATATAGGACCCAATTGTTGAGTTGGTTTTGGTCCTAAATATAGGACCCATTTCTCATATTTATCAATTTTCTCTAAATTACCCTTATAGATACTCAACCATACAATTGAAGAAGAAAGATAATTATGGTGTTTTAGGAAAAATGTGTCACATTTCTTATAATTAACTAACTTACTTAACTTCCTTAATCTAATCAAATTAGTTAAATGGGTCTTATATTAAGGACCGGAGGAGTATTTTTCGCTGTGTCACATTTTATGCTAAATGAATAATCTGTGATTTATGAATAGTATAACTTGTTATAAATTAAAATAAAATATAAAAATTTGTATTTAAATTAGATCTTACTAATATGTAATTCAGCTATTCACTACCTACGAAAATTAAAAAAAACAATGATTAAACATAACCTTTATAAGCGACAAAAAATATGAGAACAATCTTTTACGTCGGCCAACAGTTGAGCCATCATTACGTCATGTTATTTATAGTAGTGAACAAAAAACTGGTTTGGACCGGCCAATTCAACCAGTAAACTGATGAACCGGTCAGTGGATGGGTTCGGTTTGGATGTTAAACCGGGAAAGAGTTGAACCGGTAGAGAACTAGTCAAACTGGTGTGAAAATTATATATATAAATATGTCTAAATTAAACCTTTTTTTATATATTTTCTCCATCATACATTCATTTGTATGAAAATTATAAATATAAATATGTCTAAATTAAACCTTTTTTTTCCAATCAAGATAATGGATTTTTTCAACCACTCAACAGTAAAGTAAAACATTACTCCCGAAACAATCTTTCTCACAAAGATATTTCTAAATATAAAAAAAAATTCTTTTTGCCTGAAATTTTTAATTTTTTTCACATTAAATGTATGTCACTTATATCACTTATTATCTCTCTGCAATAAATTTTAATTTATTATCTCTCATGTACTTTATTTACAAATAAAGGTATAATGAGACTATCTTATGCATTTATTGCTTAAATTAAATTTAACTAACATTTTAAATTGTGTGATTTTAATAATTGTTTCACAAAAAGAGCATTAAATACATCATATATTATATTCTCTTTGATCCTATATGTAAGCTTCAAATAATTGAATTGTTTAACAAATTAGCAGTTAAAATTAATTAAAAATAATAAATAGGTTAGAAATGTATTTTTTTTCAAATTTACCTTTATTTATTAAGAGAGTAAATGAAAAAAAAGAAATAAATAAAAAATAACAAAAGAGAATATATGAGGTAATATTAATAACAAAGAGAGTATTAAATACAATCAACTAAAGGCAAAAGAGGAAAAAAATAATAAATGCTTAAACAAACTCAAAAATAAATTTTATATTTTAGACCTAACTCCTCTTTAAAAGTAAAACTTATATATAAAACCGGAGGAGATACTAACTAATTAAATGCTAAATCCCACCAAATAGTTAGGTTACCATATCTTAAATTCATACCAAAGCAGCTGGACTTTGAACTAACCCCCGGAAACCCCAAAAAAAAAAAAATCATTTGCAGAAAAAAGTTCACCACTTTGAAAGTAGATTAAAGTTATTGGCTTAAATGAGAAGAACGTAATAATAGAATATCCACACACATTAAGATTAAGGATTCAAAACGTTTACCTTGTTTTGGTTCTTTATATAAGAACATATTTGTTTTTTTTAATGTCTAAGTAAATATTAGGGTTAATCGTTAAAGAATACATAATTATTACTGGTAAATATTTTAATTGATTTTCTTTATTCTCGTGATTTGGTTAAAATAATGAAGTATAATCACAAAATGAAGGCACAAAATGCTTAATTGGGATAATAGTCAAGGTATCACACACACACACACGTATATATACTCCTTCTATGCTTACTATACTAATTTACACACATCAATCAATCATACACATTAAAACTATGTCTTAGCTTATAAAAAGTATTGAGAATTTCTTTCATCAGAAGGACCCCTACAATAAGGACTATATATATATATATATATATATATAGAAGCCCAAACACAAAGTCTCAAACTAGTGGGAAGTGTCAAAATCTCAAAACACTCCATCCAGAAAAATACGTACATTTGCAATAGCTATGCTTTCTCCAAGGCTGATTTCTCTTCTCTTCTTCTTCTTTCTGATCCTCAACCTAACGCTAATATCTCATCACGGCACCAATGCCCAGCAAAACTTCTTGAAATTCTTCTGCAGTAACAGCATCGTCGACGATGATACCACTAAGAGTACCTTCAAAACCAACCTAAAATCCCTTTTATTTAACGTCACTTCTGACACAAAAATCAATTATGGCTTCTACAACTTGTCCTCCAGCCAAAACTACGACAGAGTCAACGTTATCGGCCTATGCCGAGGAGATGTTAAGGTACAAGATTGTCACAGTTGTCTCGCAGATTCAAGAGTTGTTCTTCTCCAAGTTTGTGCCCCTAACGTCAGAGAAGCAATCGGGTGGTACGATAACTGCTTTCTCCGATACTCTAATCGAACCATATTCGGCGTCATGCAAACACAGCCATATTTCTATCTGTGGAACACACAGGACGTGTTGCAGAAGGACCAGTTCAACTTTGTGGTGACAGAGCTGATGAAGTTCTTGAGAGAGAAAGCTGCTTCCCACAACTCTGTTCAGAAGTTTGCAGCGGCGAATGCGACGGGACCGAGCAATCAAACGATATACGGTCTTGCACGGTGCACGCCGGACTTGTTGAACAAGGATTGCAATAATTGCTTGAATGGGGCAATCTCTGAAATCCCGAAATGTTGCGATGGAATGAAAGGTGGAAGAGTGGTAAGACCCAGCTGCAACATTAGATATGAAACCTACAGCTTCTTTGATCCTACTGCTTCACAATCTTTCGCATCACCGCCGTTGCCACCATCTCCTCCGGCAGTTCTTGATTTCGTACCCAAACAAGGTGTGTAGATATTTATATGAAAAATCACTTAACAGTTCACTCAAAGCAAAATCATTTATCAGTCCCCTTTCCTAAATATATGAACCATTTTGTAGTACAAGTTACACTATAAAATTGGTCCCATATTTAAGACGGGAGAGTACGATGTAGATAATCTAATCAATTAAATGAGCAGCATGCAACTGTTGTCATTGTTTTGTATATCGTAAGTTGTTATTGCAGACTACCCACTTGAGTTGAGGCGTGAGCTGCGTTTTGTTAGCCGCCTCCTAGCTACCCGTTGATTTTGGGGTTCTTTTTCAAAAAAATTTTAGTTTCTTTTTATCATTAGATTTTAAATAAAATGAATGACATTTTGATATCTTATTTGTAAAAAATAATTTAATTTTTATTTTTTTATAATTTTTTAAAGATTTAATACTTTAAGCTAAAAACAAACCGAACCATTTAGAGTATTAATCTTAAAAAAAATATAAAAAATTAAAAATTAAACCATTTTTTTAATAAATAAGATACCAAAATGTCTGTAAAATCTAATAATAAAAAAAGGCTCACAAAAAATATCTGGGAAAAATTATAAAATTAAGAGGTAGCTGACACCCTAATCCCGCCACCCACTTCTTGTGAAACTTTTTTATTGATTAAATTGTTTGCGTGTGATTGGCGACAAAGGCCTCTTATGACCACTCTCTAATGCAATAAGCTTACACACACACACATCACTGATCATTAGATTTTTTCATAAAATAAGTTACCGATACGGAATGCTGTAATTTTGAGCTTTTTACAATTTTTTAAAAATCAGAACTGCATGCTTTTTCAAAGTATTTTTCTTCCAAAAATCATAAATAAAAATTCAAAACTGTATTATTTCATATTTATAACATATCAAAATGTTTTTGATTTCATATATAATCTAATCATCAACAAGAAAAAGAAATGTAACCCAAAGTTGCTTTGAGCAGGAAGGTGCAACTCATCCCGAGCTATAATTGCCGTGGTAGTCCCAATTATTGTGTTGCTGGCAGTGCTCATCTTTGTGGTCCTACTTAAATCCAGGAGAGCCAAAAATATTGAAACTAATAAGTCAACAAATATTTCATGTTCTGGTGAGTTCTATACTTATTTAATTTATTTTATATATGTACTTTTCTCTCTTAATTTAAATGTTGGGGGTAAAAAAAAAAGGTAATTTTGCTACAAAATCTATATATATCCTTTTTATTTTGCAGAAATAATAAAATAAATTGGAATGAAGTAGACTCAAGTGACTATAATGCAAGAGGTCCCAATAATTTATATTATATTGCATGTTTTTTTTTTTTTTTTTTTTTTTTTTGGTACAAGAGAAGGCTATAAGCCCAAATTAGAAACTAACAGGATTGGATCCTGTACACTCGTGATCCGCTAAAATCCGTAAATTCTCAGGACAAGTATCCCAATATGCAGAAAGAGAAATACCCATCTTTGCAAGTCCATCCGCCACTTTGTTCCTTTCTCTTGATACATATTTCAGCACCACTTGCCAGTTGAATCTCAGTAGCTCACGGATCCTGACAAGAACGAGACTTCCATATTGAGTCTCCTCTTTTCTCAGAAGCTGCTCAATCAGATCCTTGGCATCAGATTCCAGAATCACTTGCTTGAATCCACAGTCCCAAGCTAAGTTCAGTCCCCTAAGAATCGCCCACTCCTCTGCTTCTGCAGCACTGCACAAACCAATTGAAAAGCAGAATCCCACAATCCAGGTTCCGAACTGATCTCTGATAACCCCTCCACACCCCGCCTTATTGGATCGTTGAGCCATAGCCCCATCAACATTCAATTTCACCCAATTTTCCGGGGGGGATATCCACTTCTCATCCTTCCTAACAGCTTTGCTCATCCGCTTATTGCTCACTTCCGGATTGACAGCAAAGAAACGCCAACAATTGGAGATATAATCACCAGGATTCCACGGTTTGCCTTGTATATTGTCACCGAAAATTGTCTGATTCCGCCAATTCCAAAGTTTCCAGACTGCTACACCCCAGGTAATGTCCCAACTACTAATTTCCGACTTCCCCAGCTTTCCTTTTAGATTCATTGCAAACCAATCATTGAGAGAGACAGTAAAGAATTCTGCAACATATTTTTTATTAATCAGTTGTAACCAAAGTTGCTTAGCATACGAGCAATCCCTTAGCACATGAAGTGTATCCTCAACTCCATTATGACAGTAATTGCAGTCTGCTGTAGTTGAGCACCATCTACTTCTCCATAGATTCGTTGGGAGTCTATCATTAAAAGCTTTCCAAAGGAAAACTCTAATTCTCTCTGCCCCATTCCATTTCCATATAAGATTATAAATTGGATTAAAGAGAGCCCTATTATTCTCTTCTAACAGAGAATAAGCACTTTTAATACTAAACATGCCATTATTTGTAGCATTCCATATCATCAAGTCATTCCCAGCATCTTCTCGGGGAGGAAGTACACTAATCAGTCTTTGAATAACTTCCCTGTTGACAACCGTATCTAGCTTCTGAAAGTCCCATTCTCCATATTTCGTCCATTCAACTACAGTGCTAGCTTCCTCCTCTTTGGTTAGAGGTCTAATACACAGGTCTTTAATTCTCTTTCGTGGAAAAAGCCATAGGTCTGTAAAGAAGTTTACAAACACACCATTTCTGACTTGCCATTTTGTTCCTTTCTCTATAATGTCTACTTGATTACAAACAAAATTCCAGAGCTGTGAGTCTCCCGGAATAGCAGTTAGTAGACTCTCCCCCTCACGCAACATATACTTGTGCTGTAACACATCCACCCATAAGCCTTTTTCACCAATAATCAGCTGCCAAGCTAGTTTTGCTCCACATGCCCTATTAACCGAAGTTAGCTTTTTGAAACCCAATCCTCCATGGGACTTAGGTAAAGTCACTTGATGCCATCCAATAGGGTGATAGCCATGAGAGTTCTGACTTCTGCCCCATATAAAATTTCTTTGCAATCTTTCTACCTCCTCACAAATCTTCCTTGGAAGTAGAGCCACTTGCATAGGATAGAGGGGAATAGAACTCACTACAGATTTAGCCAGAGTAATTCTTCCTGCTAGTGAAAGACTATCAGCTTTCCAAGCTGACAGTTTAGACTGTACTTTATCGATAATATAATGAAACTTTTCAACTGGTCTCCTAGTATTAGAAAGAGGAAAACCCAGGTACTTCCCTATTTCATCAGAAATCCTCATTTGAGCTATGTTTTTTATTCTGCCTTTCATTCCACTATCAACCTTTGGCGAGAAGAATAGGGAAGATTTATTTCTGTTGACTAGCTCCCCAGAAGCTAGGGAGAAACTTTGCAGGCAATCCATCATGCACCGAGCTTGTCTCTCCGTGGCAACTCCAAACAAGAGTAAATCATCTGCAAAAAGTAAGTGGGATATACCTGGACCCTGTCTAGTCACCTTTATGGGTTTCCATTTCCCCTCATTAACTGCATCTGTAATTAAATGTGATAATTTGTCCATGCAGAGTACAAATAGAAGAGGAGATAACGGATCCCCTTGTCTAAGGCCTCTTTGTGGCTGGAAAAACTGAGTTTTAGAGCCATTCCATAGAACATTATAAGAGACTGAGGTTACACAAGACATAATCAGATTAATTGTTTGACTATCCATTCCAGTTTCCACGAGCACCTGTTGTAGAAAATCCCACCTTATCCTGTCATAAGCTTTCTCCAAATCTATCTTCATTGCCATCAAGCCCTTCTTGCTCTTATTCTTCTTCATAGTATGCATTAACTCCTGCCCAATTATGATGTTATCTTGAATGTGTCTCCCCTTGATAAAACTAGCTTGGAATGGAGAGACCAGTTCATTTATCACAGTCTTCAATCTTTGGGTCAGCACTTTAGTGATACACTTATAATGCACCGAGCACAAAGCAATAGGTCTGAATTGAGTCACCCGTTCAGGACTGTCCATCTTTGGTATAAGTGAAATCAAAGTTTTGTTAGAATCCGCTACCTCGATTTCCTTTTTGAAAACTCCTTTAACAAAGTTACAGAGGGCAGGTCCAACTATTTGCCAGTTAGACTGAAAGAAAATAGGGGAAAACCCATCCTCTCCAGGGGCTTTATAGGGACCCATAGCAAACACCGCATTTCTAATTTCTTCATCTGAGGGAGTTGCACATAGACCATCCAGGGAGCCATTAGTTTCCGGAAAACAGGTTGAGGTTCTTAGCAAAAATTGGTCACAATTGTCAGCCATGTATAGCTTCTTAAAATAATCTACCACCATCTCCTTCAGCTTATCTTCCTCCTCAATCCAGATTCCATGATCATTTTTTAGAGCTAAAACTCTATTTTTCTTCCTTCTAAATCTGGTTTTTAAGTGATAAAACCTTGTATTCCTATCCCCTTTAGTAATCCAGGTTGTTCTAGATTTCTGGAACCATTTAAGTTCTTCAAGTCTTAAGACTTCCTCTAACTCCTCTTGTAGATTCAGTTCTAGCTTGCAAAGGAAGTGTGAATATGGGTAAGCATCAGAATTCTGAATTCCATTTAGTCTGGCTATATTGCATGTTAAATTCGACAACTTTCATAAAAAAATTCCTGGGTTAAGTTCATAAAAGCCCAATAACAGGGCCTACCGCCAAGATTTTAATCCGTTTGGGCTAAAGACATCTAGGCCTTAGGTGAGCTACCCAGGTCATTTCAATTGGGCCAAATCACATTTCACATTCACACCATAAAAAGTAAATGGGCCCACTCGAACAAAATGTCATAAAATAAATGAACATTAACTGCACTTATCGGTCATGCCATTTTTTAGTTTTATTTGAGAACATTCATGTATATTATTACATAAAAAAAATTTATAGCATCAAATACGTATGAGGGAATAGTTCACAGGTAAGATTTGTATATTTAATCTAATATTTTTGCCATCTGAGTGTGCTAAATCTAACCATAAAATGGATCATAATTATTGACTTGTTACGAATGGAGATAAGTGAATTTCAGTGTTTGGCACATTTAAAAAGTGTTTCTATACAAATCAAAATAAAATTCCTCTCACATGTTTTTTTTTTATACCATAAAATCACTTTTAAAATTATATTTTGGTTTTTTGCCAAATACCTAGAATTAAGTTTGAGTGGTTGTATGCAGAGTTAGAGAATAAAGTACAGAAAGTAAAAACGCAAAAAGTAAAAGCGCAACAAGAACAGAACAGAATACAGTAGAAATAGATGAATGCAGTTTGGCATTCCTGCTCCAAAACTTTGAGGGACAGCTGCCATCTGAGCTTGTTACCATGGTAATTAATGTCATATTATAAAACTAATTCAATCTTTTACTTTTGTTACTTATATTAATTAATTAATGTATATTCTTATTTATAGGTGCAAGATGGTCGATACCGTGGAAATCCAGGAGTCAATAAAACCGTAATACTAGTAAGGACTTTAACGTAACTCTAGCTGTTGTAATGGAATATATATATTTGAGTTTTATTACTAGAAAATATTGCAGAACATGCACTGGCCATTTGAACCGATGCGAAGCTAAAAGCTTCCAATGTTTAATTACGGTTCTTGAAGTGTGACCATTGGGCTCGATTGGGATAATCATCTTCCCCAATAATTATTTCTTGTGTTTTTCAATAACCCAAGGAAAAGTGGGCGAGAGAGAATACGTAGGAAAAAGGATAATCAATGCTAAAAAATTAGTTAAAATTTTGGATATTTTAAGCGAGTACATTTTTTTTGAGTGAAAATAAAATTATTATTGCTAAAAAAATTTACAGAGATTTAAAAGTGTATATTATGAATAGGACTATGCTTGTCACCTTTTCAGCTAAAAAATTAACATTAACTGAAATATGGCGATATCATTCATTTTTTAATACTTTTAGGACTACATGGAGTAAATTTTTTAAATATATTTATAATTTTTTTGTGTGAATATTTTGAGAACAAAACTACCTTTCAGAATCTCCAACTAATTCTTATATTTAGCATTAGAAGTAGTATTAAGAAAGTGTATGTATCCAAAAGTTTTTTTTTTTTGCTTAATATTACTTAGGAGGAATGGTAAAAAAAAAAAAAAACCAATGTTGTCACCTTTTCAGCTAAAAAATTAACATTAACTAAAATATGGCGATATCATTCATTTTTTAATCCTTTTAGGATTGCATTGAATACATTTTTTAATATATTTATAATTTTTTGTGTGAATATTTTGAGAACGAAATTACCTTTCACCCAGAAAATATTTTTATTTTTGAAAAAAAAAAACTAGATAGACTTGCGCAGATTTTTCATATGGCGTGTAAGACGAAGCCGTCCTCACCTTGGTCTTTTTTCCCATGGATGATGGATTATTCACTAGGTCATCCTTACCCATCAAAAGCGCAATAAATTGTGAAGGTCACACAGGAGACAATTTTATGGGAAGGAAAAGTCATTGAATAACAAGTATTCCTCTAATTCTTAATATAGGATCTAATTATTGAGTTAATTTTAATTCTAAATATAATATTTATTTCTCATATTTATTAATTTTTTCTAAATTATTCCTATAACTTCTCAACAATAATCAAATAGAAGAGAAAGGAGAATATTAAGAAAGATGATTATGGTATTTTAGAAAAAAACATGTCATATTTTTATAATTAACTGACTTACATAACTTTCTTAATCTAACCAAATTAGTTAAATAAGTTTTATATTAAGTACAAGAGGAGTAATTAATAAAAATTAGTTGGAAATATAATTTTATTTTTAAATATATTTTTATAATAAATAAGAAAAAGAATGAAACAGAATGTATGAGAAATCAAAATATGACAAGAGAAAAATATTTAAAAAAAACATTAAAAAAATACATTAAATATTGAAACAAATTCAAATTAAAACTTATAAAATAAATTATACTCCTTCCTAAATTTGGAACTTATAAATAAGATAGAAGGAGCACTTGCAATCAACATTGGACTTCCCTTCCCCTCCACTTTTTGTCTCTATCATGAGATGAAATTTAATACTATCTTTTCTCGTTTTTATAATAGCTTAAAATTTAAATTATCTTGGTTTATTTTAAAAGATTGCACTTATGTTTGTTTAAATATTTAATTTTTTTGCATTTTGTTCCTAATTATTTTATATATTGCATTACAAAGTCCATTTATTACATATTATTACTTTTAACTAATTTTAACTATTTTCTTAAACACATAATTTAGTTATCAGGCTCTTACAAAATGATTAGAGGGAGTAATTGAGATCTAATGTTATAAAAAAATTATATTATGAAATAACAAAAAATATATAAATAAATTTTTTTGATCAAGAATATATAAATAATTTTATACTGTTAAAATATGATTTTTACGGGTGAATATTTTTGTTGATTTTTTTTTAATCCTCTGCAGTTTTGATAGGTAATATTTTAATAGTTTAATTATATGCATTATTCGATGTTATAATAATGTTCTTACATGATATTAAAGTTTGACCGTTTAAAATTAATCTAGCAATGAAGATAAGAAGTGAATTGGTTCTCTTTTGAGCAACCTTGGATCTCATTTAGTGGAAGGACAAAGGTAATCTTGTTTATTCATACGAATTTATTAATATCACTCGAGTTTGTTTAAGAATTATAAGTGAATTTTATAATTTTTTCTATACAATTTTACATTTATTATTATCCTGCTTTCCCCCAGTTAGAATAAAGGATATGATGAATATGTAACCACTCAAATTTCACCAAATTTTTTCCTTTTTATCTTTTCCTCCTATTTTTACTAGTGACATTTGTGTTTGTTATCAATACATGCGTAAATGGTTGCTCATTAATATTTTAAAATAGGTAACACTCATTTAATTCTCGAACTCTATATAAGATTTAAGTTTGATCCCTTAATTTTTAAAATATTTTTTTTCCGGTTATCTAACCCTAACTTCATTAGTCACAAATGTTGATTTTTGTGACAAATATTATTATTTTGAAAATTATAATTAATATGATAATTTTTTTTGAACATTTTGTTGATGTTTAAAATTTCAGTTTCTGAATATTTTTTGTTAAGTGCATTGGGGTTAAAAACTGAAAAGATAGTTTATAGAATTAAGAGATCAAAATGAAATCTCATGTAAAATAAAAGATAAAAGGACGCTTTTAGTTTTCAAATATGTAGATTAGTCCTATTTTTTGTGTGTGACAATGAATATTTGAAATGATTTTAATTTTGATTAAATATCAATCTTTTACACATTGCATTTCTAACTAATTATAAAACTTGCTGACTAATTAATCAAAGTCTTCATTCTAACTAATAACTTTTACGGATGATAATTTTAAAATTTTGCAAAAAATATCTAATTTTAACTAATTTTATTAATTTATATAAAGCTATTATTACATGTTTATAATAAGTATCTGGGATTAATACACACAAATATAACATTTAAAAGGCAAATTAAGGTAAACTCTAGAAAGGTAGGACTTAGTCCGCGCCTGATCTCCCCAACCACAAGGTTATGTGGAGACAGAGGCATTTACGATATATTGCCTCACATCCTTAATATTACCTCTGGTTTTATATAAGACATTATTTGTAATTTGCAAATAAGATCTCATAGTTAGGATTGAAGGTAGTATAAGATTTAATTGATTAATTTAGGGCTGAGAGATAATATCTTATAAACACAAACCTCATCACCAAATCTCAAACACTTTCACTACTACTCTTAGTTCTTACCATTGTCACAATGAGGCTCTTCTCCTTTCTCTTCTTTCTCCTTGACCTAACGCTAACGTCTCATCAGGGCACTGATGCCCAATCAAACTTCTTAAAATTCAACTGTACTGGGACTACTGATGATAGCAACAGTACCTTTCAGACCAATCTCAAAAACCTTTTGATGAATATCTCCAACACGCAAATCGACTATGGCTTCTACAACTTCTCCTCCGGCAGTAAATCCGACAGGGTTAACGCCATCGCACTCTGCCGAGGAGATGTTAAGGAACCAGATTGTCGCAGTTGTCTCGCAGATGCAAGGATTACTCTTCTCCAGGTTTGCCCTAACGTGAAGGAGGCGATCGGCTGGTACGATAACTGCTTCCTGCGATATTCCAACCGAACCATATTCGGTCTCATGGAAACATCGCCATATTTCTACCGGTCGGACACACATGATGTGTTGAAGAAAGACCAGTTCAAGAGCGTGGTGACGAAGATGATGAATCTTTTAAGAGACAGGGCTTCTTCCGGCAACTCTGTTCGGAAGTTCGCGGTGGCGAATGCGACAGGTCCGAGCAATCAGACGATATATGGTCTGGTACAGTGCACGCCAGACTTGTCACAGAACGCTTGCAGAGCTTGCTTGAATGGAGCAATCTCGGAAATTCCGAAATGTTGCAATGGAATGAAAGGTGGCGAAGTGTTGCGACCCAGTTGCAGCATTGTATATGAGACTTACCTCTTCTTTGATCCTGCGGCTGCACAACCATTCATATCATTACAGTCGCCGCCGTCTCCTCTTTCGCCAATTGCTCCTCCGACGGCACCCAAGAAAGAGTATCAATATTTGCATGCGGTTCACACACACACACACACACACAAGGGGGTAAAAGATGATCAGAGTCAATCTCTAGCAACTTACATATCTCTCTAGAATTTGCTTGAATGGGGCAATCTCTAATTTACATGTTATACTTGTGAGCAGAAAATCCTTTTCTTCTTCTTGTTTTTTTTTCCTGTACAGGAAAGAGAAACACAAAGGAATTGTTGTTGCCATAGTTGTGTCAACTGTTGCGTTCGTTCGCACTGGTCATCTTCGTTGTTATCATTAAAGCCAGGAGGTTGAAGAACACTATTCGAAGTAAGTCAACGCATTATAAATTACGAAAAATTAATCTTTTATCTGTTAAATGGGTTCATAGTTTTAGCTTGTCTCAGTTTTTATACATTAAATGGGTTCAAGTGACTCCCTAAAGTTTTGACTGGACTGCAACTCAATTCCTGAGTCACAACCATTGCCCTGAACTTCAAGAAATATTAATTTTATTTTTCTAAAATATGGACTAATTTTTTTATTAAATGGTTAAATTATAGAGATGAGTGAGTAATAATCTAGTCAAAATTATAAGGACTGTGTTACAACTGAGATTGATTTATAATTGAGTTGAAACATCGATTGATTATACGTATAATCAATCAATCTCAATTCAATCTAAATATTAAAGTATAGAGAAGTGATATTTAATAAAAACATACAAAACAAGGAGTCTTGGAAAATCATGTCCAACATTACTTTAGTTGAAAAATGTTTTCTTATGTCGTTGTAACCTTCTTACGTACATCGTTGTAACCTTCTTACGTACATATACTTGCGCTGCCATGCGTAACGTAGCCGGAGAAGATGAAGATGAAATCATGACCGTTGAGTCATTGCAAATGGACTTTGAAACCATCAGAGCGGCAACGAATGATTTTTCTGAGGCAAATAAGCTTGGACAGGGTGGATTCGGACCTGTTTACTTGGTAAGAAATTAAATTATACAGTACTAAATTAAATATTATTCAAACGGAATATTCCAGTGCCTGTATTTTATATTATATCAAAACTCACGTATTTGATTTTTTAAAAAAAAAATACATAATTTCAGGGTAGGTTATATAATGGACAAGAGATCGCTGTAAAAAGGTTGAGTAGAGATTCTGGGCAAGGTGAAATGGAGTTTAAGAATGAAGTGTTGCTGGTGGCCAAGCTACAGCATCGGAATTTAGTGAGGTTACTTGGTTTTTGTCTCGAAAAAGAAGAAAAGCTCCTTATTTACGAGTTTGTTCCCAACAAAAGCCTTGACTGCTGCATCTTTGGTAAGTCAATATTAGCGTTTGATTCTGTAATGTCATCTATTTCTTCTGATTTCAGATTACCCTATTGCCAAGTTTCTTTGACTTCTTTTAGACAAGCCGAATTCAAAGCACCACTAGATATATAGAAGTCACATTGTAACGTGTGTATTTATGTAGATTCCGTCAAAAGGGTGAAATTGAATTGGGAAAAGCGCTACAAAATCATAGAAGGCATTGCCAAAGGCCTTGTATACCTTCATCATGATTCTCGAATAAGAATTGTTCATCGTGATGTCAAAGCAGGCAACGTGCTCTTAGATGAAAAGATGAATGCTAAAATATCAGACTTTGGTATGGCAAGATTATTTGTGGTAGATCAAACTGAAGCCAAGACAAGTACAGTTGTTGGGACCCAGTAAGTTTATTGATTTATCAGATTAGTGTTATAACACTGGAGATATAACTTGACCTTGTTTTTTTCTTTGCCAGCAGAGATATCACCTGACTAATCAAATTTAAATGTACTCATTATTCTTATAAAATATCTGACAGTGGATACATGGCACCAGAATACATGATGAATGGAACGTTTTCAACTAAATCAGACGTCTTCAGTTTTGGAGTATTGGTTTTAGAAATTATAAGTGGCCAGAAAAACTATCGATTTCAGAATGGAGAAAATGAGGAGCACGTAGTAAGTGCGGTAAGTACATGCCCTTTATCCATCCAAATCTAATTTTAGTACTAAAGTCAAAACTAGCCATGAATTTCTCAATAATGTTTCACCGAAACATACATTCAGGGAAAAAAAAAACATAAAATGGATGTGGTAGTAGCTAATTATCGAACAAGTTGTTTCAGGTTTGGAAAAACTGGACAAAAGGGACATTGGCAAATATTGTGGATCCAACGTTGATGGAGGATGCTGGGTCAAGAAGTGAAATAATGAGATGCATCCACATAGGGTTACTGTGTGTTCAAGAAAATGCAGAACACAGGCCAACAATGGCTTCCATTGTTCCAATGCTGAGTATTCATTCCATCACTCTTCCTGTTCCTTCAGAACCTTCATTTTATATCTGGAAAAGCTTACCAGGAATCAAATCAGCCGGATCAGTAAATCAGCTTTCAGTTTCAGAGCAATATCCTCGGTAGCTATAGGAAAAATTACTATGTTGTCCCAAAGAGAAAAAATATAATTATGATATATGTATGTGTGTATATTTTGATTTCCTGTGTAACACTACTGTGAGTAAAAACATATATGGAGTGGTTTTATATAATTCATGCATCTCAATATACTCATGATTAGCTTTTGTGAATTATGATATGGTTTGTGTGTGTGTGTGATAGCGTTTTCTTCTCTCACGAAAAGTTTGTTATTCATATAATTGATAAATACCGAAAGTAAAGGGGAGCCCTTAATTTGAATTAAGCCAAAATAAAAGGTTAAATTAAACTAGATAAAAATAACAAAATGAATAACATTCTAAAATAAGAAGTGAAATGTTTGGGGTGATGATTTCCTTAGCATTTCATAAAAGCTATAATTAGCTTCCCTTTTAATTTATTTTTGTAATGCAATTATAATTAACTCAAGACTCTAATTTTTTTGGGCCGAACTCAAGGCTCTAATTACTTGTTAATACCTTTTCAATCATCTGTAATTAAATAAATTAAAGACTGTTTATACGAATAAGTTAGAACATCTAAATTAGAGTTTTATATATTAAGTAGCTTCTTGTGAAATGTTAAGAGAAAAATTGCATCGACAAACCTTTCACTACTTATAATTGAGTCTAAAACTTGATTTCTATCCGCATATATAGCTTAGTATTTAGTAATGTTTTATCAGCATTCAAGAACTTAATATCATTATTTTTTTTGTTAACATTTTTGGAGTTAAAGGACTAAAATTATTTTTTTTTTTAAAGTTGGAACAAAACTAAAATCTTACATATTAAAAGACCAAATATATACTCTAGCCAATAATAATGTCGAGATCATGGAAAGAAAAGTCAAGAAGGCGATAATCTAGACGTCATCAGTTATCTTCAGACGTAGATGAGACTCTCTTTCCTCTCCTTTCACGTCAATTTCCAAACAAAATTGACAACCAATTAAATATAAATGGAGAAATCTCGTGCGTCTTAAAAAAGATAATCAGAAATATAATTATCAAAAGTTATTTTAACAATTGAATGACGAATTGTGGGATAAAAAATAAAGACAAGATTCAAACTATTCTCTTATATTTGAAAATTTTAATAGGACAACACTTACAATAAGTTTTTTTTCTTATGTCCATTATGTGCAGTTTTTCGATCAAATTAAACCATGTCTACTATTTTCAAAATATTATCATTAAAGCATTTTTTTTACCAGCATTTTCATTAAATTGTTAAACCCATATGAAAAAATATATACGATACATATTCATGTGATTGAAAAACTTGATATAACAAATATATCGTAAAGAATTTGATGCAAGTATTTTCTTTTCTTATAATGATGTAAATATATATGTATATTTTCTTTTATCATCTCACGGCGATTCTTCCAATGCGAAAATACATGTTGATGAGATGAGACAGCTCCCTTGGACGTAGGACGCAAGGCATAATGGTTTTTCCATCTAAGAAAATGGACATCACATATCAAAACGGAAACATTGTACCTCCACATACCCGTAATTGGTCCACCAAACATAATTTCTTCCCGTGAAATTAGTGTAGTCCTTTTACCTTATTAATGTTGGAAAAATGCATGATACGTGAAGACCAGGGGAATGAAATAATATAAGCAAGGTAGCGTAATTTTCAGATGATAAAGAAAGCAATGAGGCAATTAGTCAACGAAATTGTTGTGATTATTATCATTTTTCCTTGAACTGTTTGGTATTTACTATTTAGTATGATAGAATGAGTTGTTACTAAATTTTTTATATTGGCAGTAATACTCAAACTTAACTTTTTTACTCTATCCCGTCATTATGACAAACTTCAAATAACGTATAACAAAAATTTGTTAAAATTAGTTAAAAATAATAAATAAGAAATAAACTTTTGTTTTCAAATATAACCTTATAATAAATGAGAAAAATGATGAGAGAGAATATATAGAGATAATGAGAGAGAGTATGACAAATGAGAGATAATAAATAATTAAATGTAAAACTAAAAAAATACATTACATGTTGAGACAAACCCAAATTGAAACTTATAAATTAGAATAAATATCTTTTAAAATTTAATACTTATAAATAGGACTATAGGGGGTATAAAATATTAGTTCATTATAACTACATTCATTTTCAGGCCAAAAAAAAAAACTACATTCATTTATTTTCAAGGCATAGTTAATGAGGTTTTATTATTGCGAAAATTACACTCAGGTCCCATAGAAGATATTTAATTCAGAAAAAGCCCCCGGAAATCCCGAAATGATTCCTAAGTCTCCAGGGACGTGTGTGTAATAAATTATAATTGTGAAATTACCTATTTATCCCCATTAATTTGAACCCACTGCAATTCATTTATAACCTCAACATTGACTATTGACAACTCGAGGAGAAGTGGTTAACAACCTTGGCAATGCCCCTGGCATCCCACAGAGTGAGTTGTCAGAGGCATTGTCGAGGTTGTCAACCAGTTCTTCTCAGATTGTCAACAGCTACTGTTGAGGTTATAAATAAATTGCTACAATAAAATTAATGGGGATAAGTAAGTAATTTCACAATTACAATTTATTACACAGGTTCCTAGGACTTAGGAATTATTTTGGGATTTTTAGAGACTTTTTCTGAATTAATTATCTTCTATAGTACCTGAGTGTAATTTTCCCTTTATTATTGTTATTATTATTTCTGTTTTGATGAAACATGTTGGAAGTAATTAACTTATAAATAAAACAAGATAAGTAAATTATTTATATTATAAAAAACTAAACTTGAAATGATTGAATTAAGGTCGCTATAAGTAATTTAATTAATTTGTCGAACTCCCCGGCCTTTCCCTCATTTTTTTTTGGCACCCATTGAAGTGTTCAAAATGTAATCCTTTTAGAGATTGCGTGTGATTTGAACTGATGGAGCATATAAGCGGAAGAACTAAGACATGAAAAAGAATTCTAGTGGCACCCTTTCTATATCAAGCCAAAGAGACAGGGTCTCTGTACGGCGAAAACAAGACCACATACAACCTTTGCAATAAGTCAAAGCTCAGTGAAAAGTGACAAGTCCATCCAATTAGGTAATTTGGACTTAGTCATCCCATTGATTAATAATTGGTGACTTCTTTTCTATGACATTTTCGTTTCCCCTATATGCAAAGGTTGGCCAAGAAGCACTATCTTTGTGCGTCTCTTTCAATAGTGAAGAAGACTTTAAAAGTGCGTAAACATCATATTGTGCCGTATTTCTCACAGTGAGGCATCTATTTTTTCCTACCCTTTTATTCTTATAGACTAATGTGGAAGTAACGAATTATTTAATTACCCGAAAGGAATCTAAACTCAAAATGACTAGTAAAAGTCGCATTAATTAAGTTTGGAAGTTTATCATTATCCCCAACCACACTTTAGTTTACTTCTGACCAACAAATCATCATTTTGCTAAATGACAATTCTCAAACATCATATCCCACTGCCCTTTTTTTAATGGAAAGGAAAATATCATTCAAAGAAACGAAGCAAGGACAGTCAACGGTACTAGATTAGGGGGGGAAAAGAACAGTAAGCAATACACACGAGACATGGCAAAACAAATCAAAAGCAAAATTAAGTTTACATATCAATTGAAATAATAAGATTAATGGTTTTCAGAGTATGATTAACTATCCCTTCAGTAGGTGCATAGAAATCATCATCATATTAAAACCTAACCCAAGTTGCCCAATCTGGCTAGTGAGTCTGATCAAATTTTGGACAAATCGATCATGCATGTTAGATTTTATATATTTTATTAAGCTTGAAATGACATTTGTTGGATCATGCGTTGTTTATACACGAATATTCTATACACTTGTGGATTAATGTTTTTGCTATAAATATTATTTTAATTATGATTGGTCTGATCCTGAGTAAATCATCGTAATTCAAATTACTGTCTTTAATCAGTTTATTAATCGACTTGGTTTTCAGTACTTTGACCTTGAAAATCACCATGGCTAAGCCTAGTTCCTTTCTTTTACTTTCTTTTTCTTTGGCTCACCCTAATTTCTTATCATGGCACCAAAACCAACAGGACTTCCCAAAAATCTTCTGTCGCTATGGCTCTCTATAGGACAGAGTCCGCATGAGGTGCTCATCGAATCCATGCATGATCACCTCATGCTCAGTGCCGAATGGCTTCTTTTCATGTAGGAAAGAGGTAACTTTAAATGATTTTTTTCCCCACCCCGCGTGATGCCTCCATTTCCCCATCTCTCCTTTTTTCTTAGGCCATTATTAGCCATACTTTTTCTTAGGCTGTAATTATTTTTATAATTAACACAAGTATATATTACTCCTCTGATCCTTAATATATGACCTAATTGTTAAGTTGATTTTGGTCCTAAATATAAGACCTATTTTTTATATTTATCAATTTTTTGTAAATTACCCTTATGGATACTTTCTCAACCATAATTAAGTAAGCGAGAGAAAAATGATATTAAGAAAGATGATTATGATATTTTGAAAAAAAATCATAAAGTCATATTTCTTATAATTAACTAACTTACCTAACTTCTTTAATCTAATCAATTAGTTAAATAGGTTTTATATTAAGGACCAGAGGAGTATATGTGTTTAAAAATCATATTTAAACTAAAATTAGGCCTTGCACAATGTTTCACACAAAAATTCTAACTACCTAGTTTGATTGTCCATAGTTTTTACAGGGATTAAAATACACCCAACATCTTGAAGTATCTTTTAAGTACTGAAAAATGTTTTAGGGCATTGAATAAATCACCGATTAATTTAGTATACTAAATACTAAATACTACTTAGAAAATACTTGTTTAAGTAGTAAAAAATGTTTTGGGGTGATGGATAAATCACAAGTTAATTTAATATACTAAACACTACTTAGAAAATACTTAAGATTGTTGGGTGTATTTTTCTATACTTAAAAGATACTTCAAGATGTTGGATGTATTTTAACTCCTATAAAAATTATGGATAATCAAACCACGTTGTTGGAATTTTTTTTGTGAAATATTATAGGAGGCCTAATTTTAGTGTAAATATGATTTTAAAATACATGTAATATATATTTGTGTTAATAATAAAAATAATTGTAATATTTGATTTTTTTTTTAATTTTTAAAGATGTTAAAAGAAAAAGTGGGCGACACTTTAAAAACAAGAGAAAAAATTCCAGAAAAAGAGCCTTGAAATTATTATTTCCCAATTGAAGCATTTAAGAGATGAAAAATGATAAAGAAAGAAGTGGTGTCTGATATGGTATTTTGTAAATATAGTTAAATAACTAAAATACCTTTGCATCAGAAAATATATTAAATTGATAAAGTTTTTTAAATTTTATTTTTATCAATTTTTTTCTCTATTTAAAAATCATTTTGATATCTCTTTCTTTTTTTTCTTTCTGATAGAAATTAAATAAGATTAAATTAGAAAACAAGCATTAAATATACTATAAGTAACTTATTTAGAACCAAATTTTTTTTGATAAGTAACTTATATTTAGGATCAAAGTAATATGCATACACCGCAACAGAAGTAAAATTGTATGAGAGTTATATATACATATAGATACACACACACACACACATACCTACAAGGCTGTCAAATTGGGCAATGTAGTAGGGTGAGTATAGGGCTATTTACGATTGTGACTAAAGTTTTCTTTTTTAAAAAAATAAATCAATGCATTCTTTGTTTCAACAAGAATTTAGAAGTCCAGAAAAATCATTATGGTCTTCTTTTTCTAATTTAGCGGGGCATCTACATTTTCCTATCTCTTTCCCGTAACACTTCGTATGATAAATTATTTACCCTGAAAAATGTAAACTCAAGAGATGACTACAAGTCGTTTTGGGCATCGTCTGTCTCAATCCCCAATTATCCTTGGCACCATCTTCTAACCTAAATACAAAGAAAAGAAAAGATTACAGACCTCAGTTGGACAATTCTCAAACCTACCTTTACTACGCACAGAGAAAACACACGTACAATAACCATGCCTAGGGTTTCCTTTCTCTTCTTTCTCCTTTACCTAACCCTAATTTCTCATCATGGCACTATCGCCCAGTAAGACTTAAACCATTTCTGTGGCGAAGGCCTCGCAGATAGCAATAGTTCCTTCCGATCCAACCTCAGAAACCTTTTAGTAAATATGTCTTTCAACACATAAATCGACTATGGTTTCCACAACTTCTCCTCCGGCAACAACTCTGACAAAGTTTACGTCATCGGACTATGCCGAGGAGACATTACTATACAAGATTGCCGCAGTTGCATCCAAGATTTGAGGGTGATTATTCTCTAAGTATGTTTACCTAATGCGAGGGAAGCGATCAGGTGGTACGACATCTGCTTTCTGCAGTACTCAAACCGATTGATATTTGGTGTGATGGAAACATCACCGGGTTACAATTTGTGAGACAGCTCCGACGCTTTGGAGAAAGATGAGTTCAAGGATGTGTTGATGCAGATGATGAGTTATCTGACAGAAAGGGCTGCTTCCAGAGACTCGCTTCGGAAGTTTGCGGTGGCGAATGCTAGTGGTCCGGGCAATCAAACCATATATGGTCTTGCACGATGCACGCCGAACTTGTCAAACAAGGATTGTGACATTTGCCTGACTGGGGCATTCTTTGATATTTCTAAATGTTGTGACGGAAAGAGAGGTGGTCGGGTGCTCCCACCCAGTTGCTACATTAGATTTGGACTTGATAGCTTCTTTGACGCTTCTACATACAATAATGCACAACCATTTATGCAGTCACCGTTGCCTCATCCCGCCTCCCAACAAGGTAAACTCATAGTATCAGGGCTTTTTTTCAAAAAAAATTAAACTAGATCAAGAAAATATAATTCTAAAATTGAAAATTACTGCCTATAGTTTGTGCTTGGATTCATTGTGGAGAAATAATTTTGGGCCGTACATACTCCCTCCGGTCTATAATATAAAATGTTGGTTAAGTTTTCTCACAAAACAAAAAAGTTAGGAAAGTCATTAAATATGTTTTAAATTGATAAAAGTTATTTATTTTATCTTTATTAAAGAACGTGATTGGAAAATTCTCCCCTCTTTCTCTTGCATTTAAAACTCTCCCCTCTATGTAATAAGAGGTAAAAATGAAAAACTATTATTAACTACTTTGTCAACATCTTATATTTTGGATTAAAATTTTCTTCTAGAAGACTTCTTATATTATGAACAAGAAAAAGTGTCACACCTTACTTATATAGTACCTTAGCAGTCATTTAGAACCATTCCAAACCACTTTGGATGGTCTTAAATTTGAAAATTTCAATTTGGACGTTAATTTTCGAAAAATTACTGTTCACTTTCCAGTTTTCAGATTACAGGTCCAACTTTGAAAAACCATAACTAATTCTAGAAAAATCGTATGGAGGTGTTCCAAAATTCTACGGAAAGCTCTTTCAATGCTCTTTAAGGGAAGAATACTCAATTAGACTTGTTTTTGCCCAATTCGTACAGTTTATTGGATTAAAATTACTATTCATTTGGTAAAATCTGGACTTTCCAGATTCTGCGCCTTAACTTCAAAAATTCATATCTCATTGTATACACATCCAAATGATGTGATTTACCACTCATTTTAAAGCTTGGGATATTTATTATAAGTGTACCAAATTCCGTAGCTTAACTCATTCATTTGATAGGTCAAACTGAAGCTTGAAATTAACTGCTACAGGACCTACGTTTTATCCCTTAATATCTCCTTACTTTAATTCTTTTTATTTCTTTGACGTACATAGCATGGGCTTAATCTTTCTCATTCACACTCGTATACTTTCATTCATGCCATAAACATCCTAAGCATATACATTGAAGTAATGGCATTCATAACATAATTTACAGCATAGAAGAATTATACATTGAATATTAATATCAATCATTAGCATCAATAACTCTCCACTTCTTCTCCTTGCTTCTCATGCCATTAGTGCCCGCCATTGATTGACCTAAATGGTTGGTTAGGGAGGGGGTGAGATTCGGGGGAATCTCAGTAGCAAACAATACCATATTAATCATGCTAAATGGATGCTCATGCACTACACGCAACTTATTTATTCTCTTGTTAATTAGTGACATACTAGCATGCTCAAAGCTAACTTCTTGATGCATGGCCATGGAGACATAATCTACTCATCATGAATAGCAATTACAGCAGCTAAAACATGTCACAACAACATGCAAATAACATGTACACGGCAACACACAAGCATACCATATCAAGCAATGACAATAGGTAAGTTCACTACCTTGCACCTCAAGCTTTCCTCTTACTTTTCCTTTGACTCCCTTGACTTTCCAACCATGTGGGCATTCGGTCAACATCACTAAACATCCTCTTGGATGTTTCAAAGGTCCTAAACATAACCATAATGATGACACAATCCATTAGGACCATTAGATTACATAAAGTTCAAGACTAGCTTTCTTGAACCTCAACCCCTTTCTCTTAGTCTTAGGGTTTTCTTTCTAACTTTTCTAATATAAATCTTATCATTTTACATCCTTATGATCTATTTCCTATCAATTAGGACCACTTTAGATGGCTTTAGATTCAAGAATATCAAATCTGGAAATTTTGGTTCGCGGGTACTGTTCATGCAGAATGTCCAGAATTTTTGGTCAACTTTGAAAATTCATAATTAAATCTAGAAAACTACAAATTGAGTGCTTCCAAGTCTCACTGAAATCTAATTAAGTTAAATTTAAAGGAAAAATAGTTTCAGAAACCAATTCTACGCCGAAAAGTACCAGAATTGTACGGAACTCGACAATCTCCCAAAAGTTCAACACTGTTTTCAGATTTCAAACCCTAACTTTGAAAAATCACCATAAATCGTACACATATCCAAATGAAGTGTTCTACCCATGGTTTTAAAGCTCACAGAGTTTACTTTAAGCATGAAAAATTTCAGAATCAGATACGCATAGTAACTAATTCGAAATAGGTATCAAATCAGATGCTACAGCCACCACATACCTTGATCTTGAAGCTTGAACTTTGTTCCTTCTTCTTGGCCTTCACCCCAACGTTTTTCTCTCTAAATTTTGGCAAAGTTTCCCTTCTTAAACTCATGTTGGCTGAAAATATGAAGGGGAAGAGGCTCTATTTATAGCCAAAAAAGTTGGCTTGAATGGACCAAAATGCTCTTGGTAGCTAGAAGAAGGAGTAAGGGCAATTTTAGAAGTTCAAGTGGACTTTTGCATCATCATTGCATCATCTTATTACATCATGCTTACCTCAACCTTCTAGAAGATGCCAAGTGTCATGAAAGTGGTGGAGGAGATGGGAGATTAGATCCTAGCCGTTGGATCAAACTTGTTTCATAAACTTCCTCCGAATTTACTTGGCCCACGTTTCTCCGGCTTTCTTTATGGCCTTCCGGGGTTCAGAAAATTCTTCTGTCTACTCCATAAATTCTCCTTCATTCTAGAGAATATCTATGAATTTTCCTAGGCCATAACACTTTCTTTAAGCCTTGTATAAAAAATTGTTTACTAAAATACCTTTTTATCGGCAAAACCGGCTCTTTAATTTATTAAAGCCACTCCACTGGCCTTTTGGTTGCGGGACTAATTTTATAAATTAGTACAACCTTTCAACTATTTAACCTCATTTTTGTATACATTTTTGAGGTCTCTTGCTATTTTAAATAATTACCTCAAACAGTATACTTTTTACCGGTAATAACCTCATAAATTCCGTTTAAGCTGCCTCAGGGGTATTTTTGTCATTTCTCTTCACAGAAGAGTCTTAGAATATTATTTTCCATTTTCTAAGATTTTCTTGGAATTCTCTGTGTACTCTTCATTTTTTACCCCTGTTGGTCATAACTTTCTGAATTTACAGTTTAGTCCCTACTTGGACTTAGCTTCATACAATCCTCTCTTTGAGGTTTCTAACTTAACCTTTGGCCTGTGTCTAGCCTCTTTTCTCTCTCTGGGCCTTCAAGACTTTACTAAAGCCTTTAACTTTGATTACACTTTAGCCCCTTAAAACTTTTACTTTGCAGTTTAGTCCCTGAACTGCTTTGCCTTCCTCTCTCATCTTTGGGACTTTTGCTCAAAAGGGGTCTAGTAGCCTATCCCATTTAGGCTACTTTTGATGTTTCTGGGCCCAAAAGTTTGGATGTTACAAAAAGCGTGTGAGAAGAATTTTGTCTCAATTAAAGAGGATTAAGTTTAGCAGAAGAGGTTAATCTTTTATAATATAGTGAATCAATATTAGAATTCCCATTTTTAAAAAGGTTCACAACTAATACTAAATAGTATCGCAAACAGGTTTCCAACGAGAATGAGAATATGCCTGTCAGTGGCGTTCGTTACCTAATTCACGGTTGTTACCCCTTATAATTCACGGGGACTTACATTTCAAAATATCTTAACCCCTTTAAAAGGCATATATCAAAGCTATTTCTTTTTTTCTTTTATTTCCTTTTTGAAAATTTATTGAATATAACTTATCAGGATCGACTTGTCATAAGTATAAGTGCAAATTTTGCTTTGTGCAGGAAAGGGAAACAAGTCATCAAGGATTGTTATTGCCGGGGTTGTTGCCTTCACCGCAGGACTCACCTTACTCATCTTCATCGTTGTAATATACTAGTATTTAAAACCAATGAGGAGACCCAATAAAAGGGAAAGTAAGTCAACGTCTCATGTTTATAATATTATAACATGAAACATATGAAAATGTTTCTATACAAGTATATATCGTCTTAACTAAGTACACGGCTGCCAACACTTTGATTAAATTATATATATTAATTATTTATATTTTATTGAAAAGTCAAATCACCAATTTTTTATTAATGCTATTTTTGTCAAAAATTTAAATTTAGATTAAAATATATATTTTGAAAGAAAATAAAAATGTATGTATATTCTGCAAAAATAATTCAAAATACATAATTTATTTTTTTATATTGAATTTGAAGATTGAATGATAATTATTGTCCAATTTCAAGGTCGAAAAATTATTATTCATTTTTCAAATTAGTTATTAGAGGAACGTATTTTCATATGTAGTTGATATATAGTTATTAATAATTAATCATAACTCCCTCTACTATACTACCATCCATGTTTATATAGCTGAAGCTAAGGATGCTGCAGACTCATTGCAAATGGACTTTGAAACCATCAGAATGGCAATAAATGATTTTGCTGGTGCAAATAAGCTTGGACAAGGTGGATTAGGAGCCGTTTACTTGGTAAGATACTAGTTGAAGATACCATTTCGATCTTAAATATAAGACCTATTTTATAGTATAAATTGTACTATAAAATGGGTTTTATATTTAGAACTAAAGGAGTATATGATTAAAATGTTTTATAAGAAATAACAATAAAGTTAGGTTCCTCCATGTATTGCGTTGCTCAAACTCAATGGTCTAGTTTTGTGTGTGTGCTTTTTTCTTTTAATATATAATTCCAGGGTAGGTTGTATAATGGACAAGAGATTGCTGTAAAAAGCTTGAGCAGGAATTCTGGCCAAGGTGATGTGGAGTTTAAGAATGAAGTGTTGCTAATGGCCAAGCCACAACATCGGAATTTAGTCAAGTTAGTTGGTTTTTTTCTCAAGAAAGAAGAAAGGCTTCTTGTTTATGAGTTCCTTCCTAACAAAAGCCTTGATTACTTCATTTTTGGTATGTTAGCTAATGTTAATCTTCCATGTCTTCCTTTGTTTTAATTTCTAGATCATGATAAACGATATATATTTGGAGAGGTTAAATTTCTAAAATATTAGTATCAGGTTAAACTTAAATAGATTATTACTTTAAATCATGGAATGTGTTGTCCATGACTTAATGCAGATCCAATCAAGAGGGCATGTTTAAATTGGCAAAAGCGTGTCAAAATTATAGAAGGCATTTCTCGAGGTCTTCTTTATCTCCATCATGATTCTTGAGTATGGATCATTCACCGTGATTTGAAGCCAAACAATATACTTTTAGATGAAGACATGAATGCTAAGATCTCAGATTTTGGTATGGCAAGGTTGTTTGCAATCGATCAAACTCAAAGCAACACAAGTACATATTGTTGGGACTTTGTAAGTTTATAAGATTATATACTATTGCTAGAGCTACTATTAGATTAATTAAGCTTAAATACTAATCATCTTTTGATATGCATATGTAGTGGATACATGGCACCAGAATATGTAAAACATGGAATCTTTTCAATGAAGTCAGATGTTTTTAGTTTCGGAGTATTGGTTTTAGAAATTATAAGTGGTCAAAAGAATGGTGAATTCCACAATGGGGAGAACATAGAGCATATAGGAACTGCTGTAAGTATTTCCCTCTATCAATACTTGAATCAGCTTTGAAAAATCATTCTTCATTGTTTTTTCGGTTCTTCAACTAAACAAAGTATTCTTACAGGCTTGGAAAAGTTGGAGTAAAGGAATATTGTCAAATATTGCAGATCCAACATTATTGATTGAAGAAGAAGGCTCTTCAAGAAGTGTAATGATGAGATGCATCCAAATATGTTAACTGTGTCTTCAAGAAAAAGCAGCTCAGAGGCCATCAATGGCTTCCATTGTTATGTTGCTAAGTAGCTCCTCCTGTACCATCCCAGTTCCTTCAGAACCATTCTTTTATAATTAGACAAGCATGCCAAGTATTAAGATTATTCCATCGTCATCATCTCGAGATCAATCTGTTGAAGAATCAAGAAATGAACTTACTTTTACAGAGCAATTTCCTCACCAGCTCATCATTTTCAAGCATACATAGGGGCCAAGGGACTTGAGAAATTTGTTATACTACTCATAAATACACACCTAGCTTTTTAAAGCTTTGTGCTATTAGGAGATAAATTAGTTGTAAATGGTTTCAAAATGCGTGTGGAAATCTTGAGTACGCCACTTAAAGCAAGATTATTGTACAAAATATTGCAGTGACAACTAATAAAAAAATTGATGAAAATTTTCTGTTAAAAAATTTTATTGGTTAGAAGGACCCAAAGAAGACTTTCATTGATATTTTTTTCCCCAAAAAAAGAGTCAAAGCTCTGAGTGGAGATACCGCTACAAGACTCTAAATGAACCATGAAGCCCCGCAATAGTTTCCCCGTATGATCACGACATATCCCTTCACAAGCCGCTTTAGTCATAGCAGCACTATAGGCTCCATCCACCTTAATCTTAATACAATTCTCCACCAGTGGGTGCCACTTTGGGTTAGGCTCACATAAACCTTGTAGGGACTTCATTTCCAGGTTAGTCCAAGCTAAGCAAGCCACGGCCTTTGCTTTAAAACAACTTGTTACCTCCATAGCATTCTCAAAGACCTTTTTGTTTCTAGCTAACCAAATATTTCGACAAGCAACAGCAAAGTATATCCCCCTTCTAACTCCATCTTGGTTCATAGTTTGAGAAATATTCCACTTAACCCAAGAAGTGACGTTGATGAAGTCAAAGAAATCTCGATGAAAAGAGATAGGGATGATTCCCTTCCATTTCTCACGCGCTTGGGGGCATAAACGCAATGCATGAAGAGTTGTTTCACTGCCATTCTCGCGGAAGGAGCATCTTTCATCTAATGTGAAACCTCTTAAGCATCGAACTGAGTTAGTCAAGAGGCATCCTCTAATAGAAAGCCATAGGAATGTCTCACATCGTTGTGGTACCTTAAGTTTCCAAACCTTGCACCATAATCCAGATTAGGAGTGATCTGCCTCGTCATTTTGACTGTTGTACGCTGTCCAAAGAGTGAATTCTCCGTTGTTGGACTAACTCCATTTGGGCATATAAAGAGAAGGACCTTCACTGCCTATTCTGACTTTATCCACCTCTCTGAAGATAGACACAGGAAAACGATCTTTGAAATGGTCCCAGCACCAGCCCCACGACGGTGTAAACATATCATATACCAAAGTCTTTAAAGACAGCGGTTCATGATTGGTAAGCCACCTGTCACTCCAAAACTTAACCTACGAGCCATCGTCTATGTTCCAAGCCAAACCCTTTAGAATGTTCTCCCAATTATTTCTGATCCTTTTCCAAGCTTGTGATTCACTTCTAGTCTTTTCAATCTTAGGGACGACATCCTCGCTGCTCTTTTCTTGCAAGAACTTAACCCAGAGAAGTAACATCCTAATTTTTAATCTCTAAGACTTGAGTAAATATGTGAGTAAATATTTATTGACATAATAGTGGTTAAATATATATAAACAATTAAAATATTTATGATCATATGTATGCATATATATAACTATTTATATATGAATTAATAAATAAAACAAAAAGGTTAAGAAGTCCCACATCGACTAAACAATATGAAGATGGGACTCTATGAGCCTATAAATAGGTGGTAGTAGGGAAGAATTAAGAATAAGTTAAATATTTTCACACAAACTGTGTGTAAGTTTGTAAACTGTTAGATCAGGCTGAAATTTGGTCTGCCAGTCCGAGACATCTAACTCGTCAATTTCAATGGTTGGATTAATGATTCAATTTCTGAGGTACGATTTATTAGATATGCATTAAACTCTTTTTTTCCCCCATATATTATAGATAGAACCTTGAGTAGTAAAATATTATTATTAAAATTGTTCACTGTTAGATTGAGCCAAAATTTGGAGAATAGACTCAAGATATCTAATATGTTAATTTTAACGGTTAGATTAATAACTAAACTTCTGTAGTGAGAATCATTTAACTCGTATTAAATATGTTTCTCTAAGTTTTTCAAAAATAGAACATAGACTATAAATTGAGAATTTTCTACTTGGGTTATGAATCAATTATAATGATATAATTCAGAAATTTAAAGATAATATAAGTAAAGAAATTTAAGAATTGAATCTGAAGCATAGTATCTGTGTTCTTACTCCAAATCTTAGAAAAATTTTACAAGCTAGAATTTTGAGTAACAATTTGGAAACCTTAAAGAGGGAGCTATGGGTTAAAATTTAATACGTAGCTTATTGATAAGATATGGTAGTAATGTATATTTTTTGTTTGTAGATATGAACGACCCCAAGTTTGGGGTCTTAATCTTTAACTTGTAAGCACTTGTTGGATATCAGGTAACGTGAATTCTTACTTGTTTTCTTCTACTGGTTCCTCTAAGAGGAGTTTTTAATTAAATTGAACCCTTTAGGATAGGTTTGAATAATATGGAATAGGAAAACTGTTTTGAAACTATGAGAAAACTTTATAGATATTTGGAAGTTGCTTTATGGGAGTGCTTTGTGAAAAATAAATCAATTGCTACAACTTTAGGACTAGATAGGAGCCTGATGAGTGATTTTCAGATGAAATTGTAGACTTGGGATCTAATGTGTAGTTTGTTGTGGCGAAAGGTTATTTGTTCATCAAGACGAATTATCCAAGCTGCTATTTTATTTGATTGTGTTTTATATGTTAATATAAGCTTCTAGAATGATATGTTTATGCCCTTGATTATCTAAGAATAATATTGTATGGTATGATATTAAGTATCTTATATGGTTGGTGCATGTTTTGAATCTCTTAAGATATATGTTCTTGAGATATCTGATGAGAATTGAGAACTGTAATGACTATGATTAATTAGTTTAACATTTGGGGAGAGGTATAGCGATGGAGCTTGATATACATATATTACTACATGGTTTGCCTCCATAGCGTGCACTATGGTTGGCCTATTAGAGAGGGCAGTATCTGCTCATTCGCGACACTCCATGAGTATCCGAGGCAGTATCCCCCTAGGGCAGTATCCCCGTTAGGATATTGGGCAGTAGACCCATTGGGGCAAAATCCCCCTTTTCTGGAGGAACCCATGGCCCGTGTGTATTCTGTCGACTTTGGCCGGTTTGCATCACACATGTGGGAAGCTCGTGAAAGTCATTAGTCACATGATTAAGACTTAGCCCATGGGTTCAAGTTGGTAGGTATAAGGAGGATATAAGGCAGGAATCGAATGAATAATGATAATGATTGATGAGTAAAGCAAGCACATATGTTGATATTTTCCTTTAGCTTGTATGTTTATGATATCTGGTATTTGTTATGTGATAATGATATATTTAATGATTACCTTAATTGTTAGTCCCACTTGGCACTTCTTACGGGTGCTGGTAGGTGAGGTAGCTAGGAGTTTTTGTTATTGAGACGGTAGTCTCATTCCGTTACATCTACAATTTTTAGGTAAGCGCAACAGAGGAGTCACGGTGGGGAAGGAACTAGAGGTGTGAGCTGACCTTCATTGGTGATCGCATCCTAAACTCTGGTTATGTTTAGTCACTAGTTATTTGCCACCTAGGATATCATTATGCATCTCTTTTTTATTCTCAATGCTGAAACATTTATGATTATACATTTATGAGGGTGTCTTTGAAATGAGTTAAACTTAATTTTGTTAGATTATTTGTGACAAACTGTGTCAATCAAGTATATGAAAGGCTTTTTATAACCATGTTAGGGCTATAATCCTTTCCTAGCATGGCTATGTATCATGGGTAAGTATAATCCTTTTATAACTATGATATGTTGTACTGCTAACTGTTTGTCTTATTCTTTTATATTATGGTTATATGATAATAAGTAAGGAAATTTTGAAATAAAGTTTGTGACCTTTTTTTTTATTACCATGGTAATGGTGTTGAATTCCTATATTTTATTAAGTATGGCAAGTTTCTAAATACGGTTTTACAAGAGAGAATCTATTCTTCTAATCATGCCCCATCCCAACATCATAAAAGCATTATTTTGCTTCGTAGCCATTTGAATTCCGAGGCCGCCCTCATCTTTGTGTTTACACATGCCCTCCCATGCAACAAGGTGAGGCTTCCTCTCCTGATTATTACTGCCCCACAGAAAAGCTTTGCATCTCTTGTCGATATCCTTGAACATCGTACGTGGTAGGGGAGTGGTTTGCATGGCATACGACGGAATGGCCGATACAACAAAAGACACGAGTGTATTCCGTGCAGTAAGAGACAATGAAAAGGCCTTCCAATTAGACAATCTGCTATCCATTTTGTCCAGAATGTGATGATAAGTGCCTCTTGAGACCCTCTTATGGTGTAACGGAACACCAATGTACTTTCCCAAGTCACTTGTAAGGGTGAAGCCCAGAAATACAATGATCTCTTTTTGCCAGGTGTGGTTAACATTAGACAAAAAGAAGGTTAGAGATTTTGCGGCATTAACCCTCTCACTTGACACCATGGAAAAATCATTGTGGCATACCTTCACAACCCCGCTTGCTCTATACTAACTTTGGCAAACAAAATTAAATCATCTGCAAAGAATAAATGAGATATTGCTACTCTATCGTTCTTTAATTTGAAGGGAAGCCAAACTTCATGAGCAACTTCATATTGGATCATATGAGCTAATTTCCCTTTTGCAATGACAAATAGATATGGAGATAGTGGGTCATCTTGTCAAACAACGTGTGATGATTAACGAGCAAGCTTTTTCCCCGTTCCAAACTAATTGCATGGACACCAAAGATATGCATTCTCTAATGACATTAACCATCCATGGTGGTAATGACAACTCTTTTAGGCATTCTAAAAGAAATTTCCACCATAGATGATCGTAAGCTTTTTCAAGATCAATTTTAAGAGCCATAAAACATTTCTTGTCTTGTTTGCAAGTGATAGAGTGTATGATTTTTTGAACCAAAATAATATTACCTACACTTTGCCGGCCGGCAACAAAACTACATTAAGTAGGAGAGATAATCTTTGGCATAATTTCTTTAAGTCTATTAGTAATAACTTTAGTAATAACCTCCTAGATCACATTACAGAGGCTAATTGGACGAAACTCCCTAAATGTCTTGGGAGTCTCCATCTTGGGGATAACAACAATATCAATCTTATTTATTGAGGTAATAGTCTCCGGCATCTCCATAATTGAAGCAACCATTTGTACCATTGACTGACCCACCGTCTCCCATTGACTCTGATAAAAGAGTGGGTTAAGACCGTCTGGACCCAATGCTTTTAGAGGCCCCATATCAAACAATGTTCTGCTAATTTCCTCTAAAGAAACCTGTTTATTTAGTCTACTAAGCGAGTCTAAATCAAGTGTAAAAGTGTGTGTCGAAAACGACCTTCACATTCTGATCCCCCTTAGTTTTATATAAGTTTTTAAAGAATTGAGTTGCTGACTTCATAATCTCTTCATAGTCATACGACCACTCCATCTTCAAGCTTAAGAGCTTCAATCCTGTTTCTTTTCCTCCTACTGTTAGCTATGCAGTAAAAATGCTTTGCATTTTTATCACTGAGAGAGTATCAGTTGCACCTTGATTTTTGTAGCCACATGAGCTCTTCCTACAACAATAAAGCCTCCAGATTCCTCCAAACCTCTTCTCTCTCCTGTAAAAGGGAAACACGACCCGGTTTTAAACTCAGACCTCGTTCCAAATGTTATAACTTCCTGTGCAAATGTTTTTTTTTTTTTTGGGTATCCAATGTGCCCAAAGACCTCTTTGCTCCAAAGAACAACACGGTCTGTAAAGGCCTCTACCGTGGAGTCCCAACTCAAACTGTTATCCCAAGAGATCTTAACGAAGTCATGAAAGCTCTCATGAGTCACCGAAGGCGTCAAAAAGAAAAAGGGCCTTTCTTGCCATCGCGTTTTCTTGTCCGTATCATATGCCTTCAATAACATCGGACTTTGATCCGATTTGTATTTGGGCAGATGAAAGACTTTAGCATCTTAACACTTGTCCAACTATGCTTTATTCACCACCCCTCTATCAATACAGCTAAAGCAACTTTTGTTATTCCAAGTGAATGAGGGACCATAAAAGTCAAGATCCTCAAACTTATAGTCCATAACCCATCTGCGAAAGAAAGGGTCCACCATAACTCTTTTAACAGCCTTAGAAAAGTGTTCACTAGCTCGTATGGTAGCATTGAAGTCCCCTATCACACACAAGGCATCCTGATGCTTGGCCCAATCATTCGAAGAGAATCCCAGAGCTTCTGATGATACCCAAACAGAGGCTTACCATACACCACCGTAATGGAGAATTCATCAGTGTGTCCCCTAAGTACTATACCATGCACAAGCTGATCGGTTCGGATGGAAACTTGGAAGTCAATACACTCTTCCCAAAAACACCATATACCACCGCTATATCCTTACGTGTCAACGGCATCATCTTTTATAATGTGCAAGTTGCAAGGCTACGATCCGTCAGGAATAATTTAGTAAGAAACAGTTTCAAAAATGGATCCCAATACGCTTGTATATATGTGGATCTCAATATTTAAAAAATGTATGTTCGTTATCTGTTTGGAAAATGTATAAAATACGGCAAAAAGTGCACTTTTGGTTCTCTAGATTTATATAAAATTTTAATTTAATCCTTTAAATTTTTTAAAAAGTATACTTTTATAGTCATTTGACTTTAACACAACTAATTTTAAATAATATTTTTTGGTACATTCATTATTATTATGATTAAATTTAACATGTTAGTATTTGAAATTATTTTCTCAATATTTAAAATTTTGATGCTAGTGGTTTTTACTAATGGTATTATGATTAAAAAAACTAAAAAAATACGTATAAAAGTAAGGGATTAAAATACTTTTTTTATGTCAAATTAAACAACAAAACATACACTACTCAAGTAACAATTAACAAATAGTTTGCAATAATGTGTGCGTCTACTGAGGTATTAGATTGGCTTTGCGGCATTCCAGGGAAGACCATGAGCATAACGTCTAAATTAAAGTCATGGCAATAATCATAAACCACCCATTTTTGTTGCACTTGTTGCATCTTGATTTACCCTTAGTCATATAGGCAATAAAAAACAATAGAGAAGAGATATGCACTATAATGATGCAGCCTAGGTGTCGAATCACTTGGTCTAATAACTCTCTGAATTTCTAAGCAAAATTATCACAATTTACTTGTAAACAGTGTAGGGACAGACAAACGCTTCAGATTAATGGAAAAGATTCTTTATTGATTTTCAAATGGAGTAGCAAAATGGCAATGAATGAATGTGCAGATAACTGATCTTTCTTAATCAAACAGAACTTCCATTCAAATGACTCAATTAATCAAACCACAAAGTTCAAATCACTAAATTGAAACAAGAATCTGATTAATTTCTAACTCAAGAATGAATTACCAAATTCTCTACAACATTCGGTTACACAGCATCCAATTCGATATCTGAATAGAGTACCACTGAACTCTATTCTAATTACTCTACAACTAATAAAGCAATTGAAGAAGATAGATGAACGTAAACTCCCCCTATGATCCAATAGCTTAGATTCGGCGTTGCTCTTGGAAGAATCTACAGAATTAGCTACACATGACGGCTACTTCTCCTCTGTCAAACTCAGACTATAGCTCTGCCATGAAAATATCAGATTTGATAGTAACAACTAGTGATCGAGCAGGCATTTTGAGAAGACAGAGATGAATAAGAACCAGTGAATAAAGGAGTATCTCAAGTGTATGAGCCAATCCGAGCAATCAGGTAGCCAGAAAATGAAATTTTTCAGTTCTCCCCCACTTCCTCTTCCTCTGCTGTTATTAATCTTGTTTTTGGGTTCCAAGTTGCTATAACTAATTTCTTTTTGTTGGTTCTTCACTAGCTTGGAATGAATTTTTAACTATTTTTAATTTTCCCACTTCCCGATTGAAATTTCCGAAACTGAATGTAAGTATTTTTGGTGGGAACTCTTTTCCATTGCGATAGAAATCAGTTTCCATCAGTGATGGAATTGCTTTTCCTCTGGACTCCCCTTTCCTTCCTCACTGGAAATGTGTTTCTACTGCTTTATTTTTACCATTCTGCCCTTGAATTCAGAACAATAAGCCAGAAGTAATATCCAATTGTGGAATTTAATAAAAACTATTAAAATATCCAAGGTATTAAAAATCGGACTGGTTGTTAAATTGGTCAATATAGTGGGTCAAGGATTAGTGGATCAGATAGGAGTTGAACCGGAGTCAAACCAGAATTAATTAAAAAATATAATATAAATAAAATCTATAAAAATATTTATATTTGATTATAAAAAATATTTTAATAAATATGATATTTACAATATCATGTTAAAAAAACACATATAAGGTATATGTTATCATAAAAAATGGAACTTTCATGTTCCTTGTCCTCTCTTCTTTTTCTAGACCTCCCTCTTCTTCTTTTAATCGTATATATTTTTATATATAATCAATATAAAGTGATAAAGCAATGGAAGAATGAATGTGTCATATGTATGATTATATCTATAAAGGAAGTCATATCCAAATTTTTAAAAATGAAAAGAAAGGACGAAGTGGTACTGTAAGTCTAGTGTTATAGGCTACTATAAAATTAATGCTATTTTTTTTTCTAGAGATTCTCAATGTCCTTCTTTTCTTCTTCCTTTAAGCACACTCTTCCAGAGAAAAAGAAGGTCAGATCTTTGAAATCTCCCTCCAGCACACTTGAAAGTTGAATCTTGCCAAATGATATCTATTACCTTCACCTCTATCAATTATTACCTCCCTCTTCTCCCCCAAGTTCCTGCGATTTGCAAACTCCTTCATCCTTATCTCTCCCAGTCATTCTCACCTAGATATTGGCCCCAACAACTAACTTTCCTCGCCTCCAGCACCGCTGTCACCGTCGATGACGCCTCTTACCTCTACTGGCTCTCTCAAACGTTGGCTGCACATGCTTCATTTCTTGTTTCCATCATCTACTATATTTTTTTCTCTTCTTCTTCTCATTTCTTTCTTTTTTACCTGGGAACTTGCTTTATTTTCAGAGTCCTCACATCTTTTTAGGCAATTAAAAGTGACTCGAGTTACCTACTCAACCCAACAGATTATCTGGGTCATAGCAAGTTTATACCAGTTTAACTGGTTTTACGTTGGTTTAGAACAGTCCTGGTTCAAACAATGAACCGGATCAGCAAGTGTCTGGTTTGTCAGTTTCCGGCCGGTCTGGTCCGGGTTTTCAAACCTTGAAAATATCACAATTGCTTGATTCTTTTACTCAAGTGCATCAACATTTTATTTATTTATTTATGCAATTAATGATCAATCTATTCCTTAAAATAGCCTATAATATACATTCTAAGCATATGGAAAACATGATTTATCAAATTTCCCTACACTTAAGTTTTGGCACTCCTAGGACAGAATGATGGAATAAAGCAAAGTCTCAAGCACATTATCAATGAAGAGTGCTAAATCATGCTCAAGAATGAGATACTTGTATTCATCAACCATTCCCTTTAAATGCCATCAATAAAGAACAACCACATGTCAAAAGATCAAATCACAATCATGCAATTTAGTCACGGCAAGCAAATAGAAAGATAAGGTTTCTCTCAAGGTAAAGTGTTTTCCTCACTCTCAAGATCAAGGTAATTTCTCTTAGGACCATCTAGTTTAGGCTTCACCATAGGCTTGTAACCATCCTACATCTCCATCATTCACTTGCTACAAGGTTTTGTGAATCAAAGGGGCTTGTTAAGGTTGTAATGTTGGAAAGGCCAAATGTTGGAATGGAAAATGAATGTCAATGGTCAATGAACATATGCATTTTACTAAATTGCTTAGCACACGAGAAAATTTTCTGTTCAAAATTCAAGATATGTTCACACATGAATCCAAATATGAATTATATCAGCAATTTGACATAATCATAATCATTAACAAATATATTTCCTTAACCTTGCCAATTCAGCTGCTTATTTATTTCTCTGTCTTTTTTTTTCATATATTTTTTTCTTTTCTTCTGTCTTTACTAGTACCTCTTTGTTTATTATTTTTGTTTTTTGCCTACAAAATTTTTTTATCGCTATAGCAGTGATTATATGGTTAGGCAAGTAGGATTATATCAAGCTTTCTATAATAGATTTTTAACTGAATCATCATGTCAGCGACTCATATTCTCACAGTATCCAAAATATGCAATGCTCATCAATCATGCTAAAATTTTTAATGAATAGTTAAAAGCTGAAGGGGTTAAGCAACAAATTAGTGTAAATGGCTGCTGTTTGATCAAAAGGGTTTTGAATGAAATGCCCTTATCATATTCACAATCCCAAGTGCTAAGGTAG